GTTGTTTTTATGATGCTAGAGATTGGTCTTAGGACTTGTGCATTTTTGGCCATTGCACCCATGAGCTATAGTCTCAGACTACTGTGGATTGTTTACATGCAATTAAATTAATCTATGTTAGGTGTATGGTTGACAAGCCATGAGTAAGTTCTATGCTTCCTTCAAACCCTTTTCCTGTCATTCAGTATCATAAACACTGCGTCAAAGTAAACATGACATTACTTTATCTTACTATCCTTGGACTTGTCTCAAATCCAAAATAACTAGAAGGTTTTGTGATTGGTTAGGGAACTCCATGTAAAGATTTTGTTTCCTATTATTGTGGAATGCCCAGCAAGTGTCCACACAACATATTCTATCCACTTACCTATGAAAAACTGTTTTCCTTGGAAACTAGCTCTTCTTTCTGGAGACATGGTTTCTATATATCCCAGGAGGGCCCTGAGCACATTATCTCATTGACTTATATTGCAGGTTTGAGTTTTAATAAGCTGTATGAACATTTCCACACATGATGTCAGGCGATCACGTGTATTAAATTTTTTAATTTACAACCTAGAGCAGAATTGCTACGTCGTAAGATATGTGTTAAATATTTAAAGCTGTTGTTAGGCTAGGGAAATAGCAGTGGTAAACAAGTGCCCATGTATTTTCAAAGCCCTGGGCACCATAAAAAATAAAAGAAAGCCAGATCAATAAATAGGCTTTCAATCCTAGCTACTTAGTTGAGAGGCTAGGGATCACAAGGTAAAACCTGTCTGAGCTATAGAGCAAGCTCCAGACAAAACTGGAAAATTTAGTTGAGGTCTGTCTCCACATAAAAAGTACAAAAAATGATCTGACTCAGCAGAATTGGGTAACACTGATCCTGGTCCCCATTTCCAACTTAGGGAGTCTTACACAGCACGTGGCAGAGGAGAAGCAGGAGTCCACAGGCCACAGCATTCAGCCAGTGGAGAAGCCTATCTGGTAGTATTATTGACTTCTAGGCCTGAGTCTGTGCTGTTATGAGTGACAGGGTTGCAACAACAGGAAACAGAATATGTGGGCCTTGTTCAGGCAAGAATTTGAATGAATGTGACTTAGGCAGAAGTTTTATTGGGCAGAACAAAGTTCCTGTCGCAAGGGAGCATCACTAACTAGTCCTAAATGACAGAAGCAAGTGGCCAGAAGGCAGAACAAATCAACTTCTGAAGTTTCTTTCCTTGGCCCACTAGAAAGGCATAGTGCATTGACAAACTTTATGTCAACTTGACACAACTAGAGTCATCAGAGACGAGGGAGCCTCAACTGAGAAAATGTCTCAGAAAATAGCCAAGATTTGGCTCCAGGCAAGTCTATAAAGCATTTTCTTAGTTAGTGATTGATGGAGGAGAGCCCAGCCCATTGTGGATGATATCACTCCAGGCTGATGGTCCTACATTCTATAAGAAAACAGGCTGAAAACCCATGAGGAGGAAGCCAGTGAGCAACACTGCATCACTCCCTGTCTCTGGGTTCCTGCATGCTCTAACTGCTTTTCATGATGAACTGTCATATGGAATTGTGAGCAAAATAAACCCTTTCCTCCCCAACTTGCTTTTGCTCACAATATCTCATCATGGCAATAGTGATCCCAACAAAGACTCATAGAGTGGCTTCTGAAGTCCCTCTGGGATAACAAGAGTCCTGTCCTCAAATCTGAAGTCATCATGATCCCTATCCTATCCATCAACCCACTGCAGATACTGGAAGGAAGATCAGGGAGCAGAGAGCTGTAACAGGAGAAGCCACAGGGCTCCTGTGAGTAGGTACATAATCAAGATACCACAGATAGAGAGGTGTGCAAGGGCAGGAGCTCTGAGTATGACATCCACCCTCAAGATTCCTGTGCACTGTCAAGACTCAGAGGCCCTTGCCCCTTATAGTGATCCTAAGATCTATAAATAACCTCGCTGTTAGGTCATGGTAGCTTCATTGAAACACTGCAATTCTGCAGGAAAGTCCTCATTTCCTATTCTATCCACTCTATCCACCTCTATGCCATGGCTTCTCTAATGGCAAAATCCTTATAAGAAAAAAACAGTCATCTATCTACTCTTCAAATATTGTTTAATGCTTCATATTCACTTATGTGCATATGTGTGTACATGCTCATTTGAATATTCATGTGTCATGGCACATACATAGAAGGAAAAGGACACTTGAAGGAGTCAGTTGTCTCCTTTTACCATGTGGGTCCTGGAGATTAAACTCAGGTTATTTGTTAGAGTTGGCAGTCCTTACCCTCTGAGAAATTTTCCCAGGCCATACTTGATGAACATACCATGGGCATTGCTGGGGGCAAGTAAGGGGTGGATGAGGAATGGAGGACAGTAGATCTTGACAGGTGGGGAATTTGTGTGCTGGAGTTAGGTTACAGCTGGGATTGTGCATGTGGCCGCTGAATGGGGGCGGGGTTAACATCATCATCAGGGTGGAGACAGGGACAGAAAGCTTGTCTGGGAAGGGCTCAGGTCTAATCCTAGCACATCATTTTGAGCTATGAGAGGTTCTGTTTCTTCAGTTGTACAGTGAGCTCAGGCATTCTTCAAGTTCTCATTTGGGTCCCCATCCTGCTCATGGGGAAGGAAAAAAAAAAGGAAGATCCATATTTGCTGCTACAAAAGGAGGTTTTGAAGTCAAAGAAAATATCCTTGCCAAGATCTGCCTCCATGTTGTGTGGTAGTCTGACATCTCTGAAGAGGTTAGCTGTCTGCTGGAACTCACAGAAGTTAACAGGCAGGAGCCTGGGGGTGTGGAAATGTAGGTCCTTACCTGGACCCATCCCGCCTCATCTTTGTGTAAGATATCTTGGCCTAAGATTGTCTGGAATGACATGGCTAGAGGTGTGTGTGTGTGTGTGTGTGTGTGTGTCTGTGTGTGTCTGTGTGTGTCTGTGTGTGTCTGTGTGTATCTGTGTGTGTCTGTGTGTATGTGTCTGTGTGTGTGTGTAAAATGTAAACTCTAAGACCGAGGCAGGAGCCTTGGAAAGGGTTTTGGTTAAAATATGACCCTGGCATCCCCAACTCCCTGAGTAATTTGGGGAATACCTAGAGCAAAATTTCCTCTCTGTCCTAATCTGTGTCACACTCTTACACCAGACATTAGGATTTACTAAACTAAAAGCCATTAGAAGCCTGGGACCAGAGAAGAAATAGAGACATAGATGGAGACCTGGATTCCATAGCTATCCCTGAACATACAGCTCTAAGACATCCTTAGAATAAAACCACTTTGTCAGTACTAGAGATCAAACACATGGCCCCATGCATTTGAAGCAAATGTTCTACCACTACCCAGAGTTCCAACCCAGAGGCATCTGTATAAACATAATCACATTGAGCACATGGTACTTGTAGGCAGGGTTCACAACAGGAAATTCTCCACCATCTCTTTGAGCTGTACTTGGAGAGTCTCAAGAGTCTTCAGGGTCTCTCAAATACTCCTCTACCAGTAAGTCAGAAAAACCAGGAGGCAACATGTAGTTCAGAGGGATCCAGAAAAGGTGTGTTAGTAAGACTTCAGCACCAGGAACAGTATCCTCAAGTTAAAAGAGAGGGGTCTGGAATGGGAGAAGTTCAAGAAGAAAGGACAAGCTAGGGTGGCCCCATCTCTAAACACAAACATGCTCTAGTTTTTGCTCAAGTGTCTCTTGGCAATGGCAGATAACTAGAAGCTCTCTAATTCTTAGCTCACAACCTTAAAAGTCTGACCAATTGTGTTGGTGTGCTCTGTAGAACAGCCTGAATGGTCTCTGCCCATTTTCCCCATTATCAATGTTGCACATAACCTGAGAGGTTGATGGAAAGATTCAAGTCAGAAATAGGATATAACTGAGGCTGTGGAGCTCTGAGAACCCCTCCACACAATGCATCCCTTAGGTAATAAAGGGGTTGTATCTGGGACTCACCATTGGGATGCCCCAGCTATACTCATCATTGGTTGCACCAATGATGCTGGGGACAGGTCAAAAATCAGCAGAGGCCCACAGCTCTTCGGGATGCCTGGATAAGAACTCCCCATCCACCAAAGCATGAAGAATGACCTTAAAGACCTGAGGGACATTCATAGTGAGGGATCAAATTAGGTCCCAGACATATTTTGAAACCTAATAAGTTAATTTCACTCTTTATTAATTTATCCAATGGTTCCCATACAGATCTCTGTATTTGTCAAATGTATCCATTTCCCATGGATGGCCACAATGGCATCAAGCCATGTTCATGGGGGTAATTTTCTCTGAATAGAAAGAACTTTCTGTTCCACTCCCTACTAGACCCCCTCCTAGACACTAACATTATTCAATCAAACCTTGGTGTTTGCCAGAATCTTCTCTTCATTCTTGCCTTTCAGGAAGCCCACCAGGGCCTCTGGGTCCATCTGCTGACATCCATGGGTATAAGGCATAAGGAGGAGCATGTTCATCCTTCTGCATAGAGAGAGAAGTTTTCCTAATACTCCTAGCTAGTGTGGATACCCCATTAAACACAAGGTGAGACTGTATGGAACACATAGGAATATAGTTTTTCCTACTTTACTGATGCTGAGATGAGATAGCCAGAGGAGCCAATGCATCTGCTCCTATGGTTCTGAAGATAATGAAAGTAACCAAGTACTACTATTTTTATACAGAGAAAGTTCTCAGCTTATTTGAGGCAGAGGAGTATGGATTCTGTCCCTTGATGTCTTCAGCAAGAAAGAAGGAAGAAGTGAATTCCCATGTACCTCTATGATTTGTATTGTCTTTACAGAGCAGACAGAACCATGAGGTCTAAAAGTGAGGACTGGGGTAGAAGGCTGAGCTTGAGAGAATTGTAAATCACCTGAGCAGAATGGGAGATGAGGCCAGGCATTGTGGCCATCCCACTCTGTATATCGGCACCATGGAAGAGTCCTCGGGACACAGGAGACACAAGTGAAGACACACTTGTGCCACCAACTGACTCATCAAAAATAGTGACCGGGTCAGGGTTGCCTCCAAAGTGGGTGATATTCTGCTGGACCCAGAGTAGGATGGCCATTTGGTCCAGGTAGCCCCAGTTGCCTCTGGTGTGCTTGTCTCCAGTCCTGAGAAGTGGAAGGGACAGAAATGACTCAGTTATCCCATTTCTTCTCAAGCCCCTATTCCCTGTCCAGCCCTGGAACCACCCAGAGTATCCAAGGACACCTACATTGTACTGGATAGTGACCACCACCATGTCCTCAATGGCTGACAACTTAGATCATACAAGGAAACCATGTCCATTACAAGTACAGCACCATGGATCCATACCTACACCTTGTTAAAAAAATGAAATAAATGACAAGCTGTACACACAGAGCTCAGACATGTGTGCAGGCAAACCACCTATGTACACAAAATAATAAATAAGTAAATAAATAAATAAATGTCCTCCTACACAGATAAAGGTTACAGACTCGGGGGAAGCTGTGATGAAGCCCAGACCTCTAGTTAGAGGTTTGGAAATCTTAGATCCTACTTATTAGGGGATCAGAAAGATGAGGACACTAGGAGTCTCCATGGCAGCCTTTGACCCCAGGTTTGGACATTTTTACTGTTTCTCTCTGTCCCCATTAAGGCCTGAAACAGGTGTGTGGCCCCTACAGAGATGTTATATAAGTGAGGATAAAGTAATTTCCCACTAGATGTTAGGACCTCCTTCACCTAAAGTGAGAATGTTCAGGATTCCTCATCACACCCCCAACCCCCCTCCACATCCCCAGGCTTCTCAGCTGTCAGTGCACATATTTGTTCCTTGTTAAATGGCATCTGGTCATATGGGTTGGTGTAGTGAGAATTTTGTTCTTTTTTTAAAACCCACTATGATGGTTAGCATATGCTTGGCCAAGGGAATGGCACTGTTAAGAAGTATAGTGATGTTGGAGTAGATGTGTCATTATGAGTGTGGGCTTTAATACCCTTGTCCTAGCTACCTGGAAGTCAGTTTTCTGCTATCTGCCTTCTCAACAAGAGGTAAAACTCTCAGATCCTACAGCACCATGTCTGCCTGGATGCTGCCATGCTCCTGCCTTGAAGATAATGGACTGAACATCTGAACCTGTAAGCCAGACCCAAGTGTCAGAGTTACCTTGGTTATGGTTTCTGTTCACAGCAATAAAACCCTAACTAAGACACCCAAATTTGTTATGTGATTGGGGTTTTGTTTTAATCCCAGGTATGGAGTCTGGGCCTGCTTTAGATTGTCCACAGCTACTAGCTATGATTTCTCTCATGTTTTTTGAACGGTGAGTTTTGCAAGTTGTAGATAGTTTGTGTTTGGAATTCTGGGGAATCTTAAGAAGTGTATAAATATGAGATTCCCAAGAGGGCCTGTGGAAATTACTGTGGAAGTCCCTCCTTCTGCAGCAGCTGCTGCTGTTTCCTGCTGTTGTGTTTGCTGCTTTTGCTATTGCTGGGTTGTTTACTGGATTGCTGAATTTTTTCACTGCAGGATTGCTAGATTGCTGGATTGCTGGATTGCTGGATTGCTGGATTGCTGGATTGCT